AGCACTCAAGCCCAGAGTTCAAGCCCCACGACCAACAACAACAACAACAAAAACCCTACCTGGAAAAATGACTAAAACAAAAAAAGAGCTTGAGGATGCATGGTTCAAGTGGTAGAGGATGGTGGTGTATGACACTCTATTGAGAGATGTAGCAGTAAGATCAAAAGAAACTAGAATCAGGCGTAGGTCACATGTGGGGACTCTTTTATTTATTTCTTCTTCTGGTTAGAATTCCATATTCACGAATCACTCAATCCCATAGACCAATGGCAGTGAAAGAGGCTGTAGGGACTGAGATCAATTTGTTCTTAGGTTATTGCTATTTTTTGTCCTTCAAAATTGCATTTATAGCCAGGAACTGGTGGCTCATACCTATAATCCTAGCTATTCAGAAGACTGAGATCTGAGGATCATGGTTCAAAGCCAGCCTGGGCAGAAAGTCACCATTTCTAAGTATATAATTTCAACATCTATTTTATTTTCCCATGAAAAAGAAAATACAAGTCACTCCTATGTGAAAACATAATTTATTTTTCTCATTCAGGCTTTGGTAGTTTGTTTTTTTGTGTTTTTGTTTTTTTTACAAAATAGAAGACAAAATTTAGTTCTTTTATTAATACAGAATATGCAATACCTATTGAAATATATATATATATATATGTAGCACTTCAGTTATAAAGACACAACAAATTCAGCATCACTTAAACAGCCATGGTGTTTTTCACAGGAGATAAACTTTTCAGGTATAGGATGGGAACGTGGCTCAAGTGGTAGGGGCTCAAAGCACAAGGCCTTTGGGTTTAAATCCCAGTACCGCAAAAGAAAAAAAAAAAAGTCTTCAGCTGAAATATAGAAATAGTCTCTGGTATTTTATGTCAACCAGTATTTACAAAAGCAAATCTAAAACCACCTACAAAAGTGAGAGTTGCAAGCTGGGCACCCGTGGCTCATGCCTGTCATCCTAACTACTCAGGAGGCTGAGATCTGAGGATCACATTCGAAGCCAGCCCAGGCTTCTGGGAGGCTCTTATCTCCAATGAACTACTCAGCGAAAGCTGGAAGTGGTACTATGTGGCTCACATGGTAGAGAGCTAGCCTTGAGCACAAAAAGGCCCAGGGATAGCGCCCAGGCCCTGAATTTAAGACCCAAGATGAGCAAAAAAAAACAAAGTGAGCGCTTCAGAATACAGTGTTGCTGTCAGGCCATACTAAAGACTTAAAATTACAGGTCTACTGAATTACAGTTTTACAAAGATGCTCTGAGAATCTGGAATCTTCACCTGTCAGTTTTTACAATCCAAACCTCTCAGGTGAATTATGCCCGCTAATCACCTAACTATGGTAGAGTGAGGCCGCATAGGGACTCTCTTCGTCTCTGAAAGAAAAAAAAAAAAGAATAAACAGAGCATAGACTAATATTTAAAAGTACATTCAGATAATTAAAACATATACAGATTATAACTTCACATTCAGCTCCCCCCCCCAAAAAAAAAGTCAGGAGTTATATCAACTTAGAAAACTGGGCATATCTCTGGGCTGGGAAGGTGGCTCAGTGGTAGAGCGCTTGCTTTGCATGCCTGAGGCCCTGGGTTCGATTCCTCAGCACCACATAAGCAAAAAGAAAAAAAAGCCGGAAGTAGCGTTGTAGCTCAAGTGGTAGAGCACTAGCCTTGAGCTGACGAGCTGAGGGA